TCCCACACCCAGCCCTCCCTCCAGGAGATCTCTGCTGTTCATGGGCCATTGAGCATTAATTCTCTGCTGTCCATGGCCAGTGAGTGTCCCTGCAGGGCTGATCCAATTCCATCATCCCATGGGGAGATGCTGCATTGCCCAGGGCAGGAGCCAAGCATTCCTACCTGGATCCAATGTGAGCCTGGCACAGCCCAGCAGCCTTTGCCCAGTGCATTGCCAGAGGAGCAGCTTCTGCTGCCCTGCATGGCCAGAGGAGCAGCTTCTGCTGCCCTGCATTGCCAGAGGGAGCCCAGGCCCATCTGCAGCAGCCCTGGAGCTGCAGAGGAAAACTCCCCCCTTGTGCAGGATCCCTGCTCCAGCAGAGCCACAGCTGGCACTGCAGGAGGGCTGAGCCCCCATGGGATGGGGCTGTGCCACCCCTGACACACAGGGGGACAGGGCATGGTCTGACTCTGTCTGTGGGGTTTTTTGTTTGTACTATTGCATTTATATTTTCATTTTCCTAGTACAGAACTCTTATTCATACTCCCATAGCTTTGCCTGAGAGCCCCTTAGTTTCAAAATGATAATAATTCAGAGGAGGGGGTTGACGTTTGCCATTTCACAGGAGGCTCCTGCCCTCCTGAGCAGACACCTGGCTTTTCAAACCCACACAGCTGGGAGGGACCCTAAAGCTTGTGGGACATTCTGCTATCCCAGGTTGCTCCAAGCCCTGTCCAACCTGGCCTGGAACGCTTTTAGGGATGGGGCAGCCACAGCTTCTCTGGGAAAGCTGTACCAGGGCCTGCCCACCCTCCCAGGGAGGAATTTATTCCCAATATTTAACCTAAACCTGCCAGCTCGAGGCACCTGCTGGAATCCTGGTGAGCAGTGGCTGCCCCGCACGGGGGAGGCTGAGTTTGGGAGGATGCTCCAAGGCCTGGAGCTGTGCAGGGTTTGCTGGCCCAGCTCCCCAATGAGGTGCTCCAAAGGAAGTGGGGGGACAGCCTGGGGTTGAGGAGGGGCCCCTGAGGAGGGCAGGGGACAGAACTGAGGGAGGTGTTCAGGGAAAACACATCCTGTGCTCACAGGGGTTGGTTTGGCTCAAACCCACCTGGCCGACTCCCCAGTGACCCCAGATGTCAGAAAAATCACGTTTGGGTTATTTTAGAAAGAAAAACTTCCTGACACAGCACAGGGAGGGCTCGCAGTGATGTCAGGGCTCTGATGGAGAAGCCATCTGCCCAGTGCCACAGGACAGGCAGCTCCTGGGAATGTCATCAGCACGGTGACACTGCACACACCTGCCCTGCTCGGGCTGTGCTGGGCACCCAGGGCTGCGTGGGCTCAGCCTTCCCTCAGCACAGGCTGAAAAGGAGGAGCAGAGAGCCAGGGGTTGCCACAGAGCCAGTGGGACTGAGATGGAGAAGAGATGGAGATGGAGATGGAGGTGGAGATGGAGATGGAGATGGAGATGGAGATGGAGATGGAGATGGAGATGGAGATGGAGATGGAGGTGGCTTCTCCAGCCTGGTCTCCCTGCTCTGGCAGTGCCAGGAGAACCCAGTGACCACCTGGAGCGGCTGGGGCTCGATCTTCCTTGGGAAACTCCGAGCATTTCCTCAGGGACTGTGACAAAGCCAGTACTGGTGCCATGGCAGTCCCTGTGCTTCCTCCTGTCTGTGCTGGCCAGTGCCACAGCCCACTCAAATGCCCCAGGGATTCCAACCCACCTTTACTCTCCTCTCTCTGTGTCACCAGAGGCTTCCCAAGTCACTGAGGATGTGGCAGCTCTCGGTGACCCTGCAGTGCCACGTTCCCCTCCCTGGGCAGCAATGCTGTCCTGCAGCACCTCCCTCCCATGTCCCTCCCTGGCAGCAACCAGGGTGGCATTTCGGGAGCAGGAAGAGTGTCCCCAGGCTGGGAGCACAGAGGGGCTGTGGGCCACAACTGCCCCTTGGTGCAGCTGCTGTCACTGCCCTGGCCATCGCTGCCATCAGTTGTCACTGCCATCAGTTGTCACTGCCATTGGTTGTCACTGCCATCGGTTGTCACTGCCCTGGCTGTCACTGCCCTGGCCATCGCTGCCATCAGTTGTCACTGCCCTGGTGGTCACTGCCCTGGCCATCACTGCCCTGGTTGTCACTGCCATCGGTTGCCACTGCCCTGGCCATCACTGCCATCGGTTGTCACTGCCCTGGCCATCACTGCCATCAGCTGTCACTGCCATTGGTTGCCACTGCCATCAGTTGTCACTTCCCTGGCCATCACTGCCCTGGCCATCACTGCCCTGGTTGTCACTGCCATTGGTTCTCACTGCCCTGGTTGTCACTGCCATTGGTTGTCACTGCCCTGGCTGTCACTGTCACAGCCACCACTGTCGTGGCCATCGCTGCCCCGTCCCCACCCTCGGTCCCTGTGCCAGGCACATGACCCGGCCGGGAGCACTGGCACGATGCCACGCTGGTAATTAAGAAGGAACCTAATGAAACTTCGAAAATAGCACAATTTCCTCCCCACACCTGCAGCCGAGCGGGGTGGATTACATAAGTTATTGTTGCCACAGCAACTCCGCTCCACCCGGGGCTGGAGGTGGCCGGTGCCGCGTGTGCCGCGGTGCCGTCACCCCGGGGAGGGATCCTGGGGAGGGCTGGGGCCGCTGCCAGCCCGGGGCTGCTGCCTGCTCATCCCACTGCTGTTCCCAGCCTGCCGTGGCAGTGCTTCCCCACGCTGCACCCACGGCCCGTGCTCGATGGTCCCGCCTGCACACGGGCACATGGAGAAGGGGATGCAGGTAACCCACGGGGCTCTGGCACCATGGTTACCCTGGGCACGCTCCAGCTGCCGCCGAGCCCCGGGAGTGAATCACCCTGACAGAGAGGCAGCAACCAGGGAAAAAAAATAAAAAAAAAAAGAAATAAATCAAAGGCAATCAAAGCAAAGGCTGTGGCACGAGGCAGAGGCAGGTTTTTCCTGCTGAGAGCTCCCAGGGTGCTGCAGGGTGGCAGTGCCACCGCAGGCTCGGGCACCGCTGCCGGCCATGGGCAGCACGGGCAGCCCTGGGCACTGCCAGCCAGCACTGGGACATGGCAAGAGCCAGGGACAAGGATAATTTGCTCCATGTGGCTCTGACTGGGGGGAAATGAACTCCCTGGCTGCCTCCAGCAGCTCTGGGAGCAGGGGGATATGAGGGAGAAAGGTTTTCAGCACTCGAATTCCAGAGGATAAGGAGAAGCAGAGCATGGGAAGAAAGTGGAGCGGCTGTCTGCGAGCAGGTCTAGATGGAAGAGATTCTCTGAGGGCCGTCCCAAAAGGCCTCTTTTATTATCAGAAATTACAAATCCTTTTATCTTCCTCACCAGAGGAACAGCTTGTTTGAATTGCTGGGCTGTCACACTGGAATTAGATGCAAGAACCCCCCACATCCATGACGTAGCGAAGAACTTACATAACGTAACTAAAAATAAGGTGATGGAGATGCAGAGAGAGGCACTCTACTCCTGGCTGCTTGATCCTGAATCCTTCACTGGAGAGCCAGAGAGGTGCTGGTGTCTGGCTGAGGGAGCTGACTGTGTCTGGCCACGTGGGATGGGGAGGGAACGTGGCACCGTGGTGTCCCAGCAGCCACACAGGCAGCCTGGCATTCCTCTGGGGACACCTCCCAGGGCAGTCCTGGTGCCAGCCCTGGTCCCACGGCTGCTCCCTTTCCTCAGCCCCAGTGGGAAAGGGTTAACTGGTCACTCCAGAAACAGGGGGAAAATCCTTCTCCTGGGCTGTAAATTCCTCGCTGTGCTCTGGAGTGTGGAACCTCTGAGGGAGAAGACAAAATGGGACCCAAAGGCAGCCGGAGGGAGCAGCTGCCCCTCCTGGGCCCTGCCAGGGCTGGGAGGGAGAGCGGGAAGGGGAACAGACACGGGAGGTTTGGGACCAAGGTATCGACCTGGGCTCCTTGTTCTCGGAATTGATGGATGTGAGGGAAAATGACACACTCAGCAGCTTAACTGTTTCACTGCTTCTCACAGCACAGAGGAGGGAGAGGGAGGCTCAGCCCAGGGGCACAGCCTGGCCCTGAGGCTCCCTTTAACCACTGCTCACCCTGCAGAGGGAGGCTGTGCCCAGGGGAGGAGGGCACAGGGATGGGAACCCTGGCCCTGGGGCACGGGCCTGCTCCTGGTGTCCCTCAGCACCTGGGCAAAATCCACTGTCCTTGGCCCGAGGCATGGGAAGGACAGGGATGCAGGGCTTGAGTGTCCCACAGGGAGCTGGGCGAGCTCTGGCAGGAGCCTCCCTTGGGAATCCTGGCTCTCCTGGCTGGCCAGGACAGCCTGGGGACAGCGAGGGGGCAGGCAGGGCTGGTTTTCCTTGGGCTGAGCATTCCCAGCTGTAGTCGGGCTCCCTGGACAATGCGCACCCTCCTTCCCAACACCCCACAAACCATGGGCAGCTCTTCCTTCTCAGGCTGTTCCTCACCCATCCACATCCCAGGGCACAGCTGGGGATGGAGCACAGCCCCAGAGTGGGGGTCCAGCAGGGGCTGGAGGGGGGGACAGCTCAGGGATGTGGGGCACAGAGAGAGCCACGGGGACGGGTAAAGCAGGGGGGTGGTGTAGGGTCCTGGGCTGTGGGATGGGCAGTGGGGTGGAGGAGGGATATGGAGCGTGAACGGGCCGTGGAATGGGGATGGGGACTGGGGATGGAGAATGGGGAACGGGGGATGGGGAATAGGAATGAGGAATGGGGAACGGGAATAGGGATGGGGATGGGGTATGGGGTATGGGGAACGGGCATGGGGAACGGGGACGGGATCCCGCACGGGTGGCAGGCGCGGTGCCTCCCTCTCGCCCTCCCCCGCGCCGCTCGTACTCCTCTCGTTACTCCCAGCCCGGCCCGGCCCGGCTCCTCCCCGCGGGGCTGTCCGGGGCGGTGCGGGGCGGGCACGGCCTCCGGGAGCTGATAAAAGGCTCGGCGGCCGCCGCTCCGCGCTCTCCCCGCGCCCGCGCCCGGCTCCGCCCGCCCGCCCGCAGCCGCCCATGGTGCTGCCCGGCCCGCCCGGCATGGCCCGCTCCGAGGAGGTGCACCGCCTCACCGAGAATGTCTACAAGGTGAGTCCGCAACAGGTGCCCGGCCGCCGCTCTCCTGTATTCGAGTTATTTCAATTATCGTGGAATTATCGCCTTTCTCCTCCCCGGGACGCGCGGGGGCAGAGCGGGCGGAGGCGCCGCCGGGGCCGGCCCTGGGATGTGCCCGGAGCCGCTCGGCCGGGCCGGTAGGGCCGCTGGGGCACCCCGAGCCCTCCCCGAGCACCCCCGAGCCCTCCCCGAGCCTTCCCCAGGCACCCCCGGGCACCCCCGAGCCCTCCCCGGGCACCCCCGGGCACCCCCGAGCCCTCCCCGGGCACCCCCAGCCTCACCGGGGCACCCGCGGTCCCCGGGACCCCCGTGGGGATGCCCGAGCCCGGGTGGGCAGCGCTGTCCCCGCATCACCCCGAGCAGGGCAGCCCCCGGCACTCGCTGTTCTGCCACAAACCAGAGCCCTCCGAGCCTTCCCCGTCCCTTGGTGTTCGGGAATTCTCAGATTTTCCTCTCTGCTTCGCTCCCCGTGTCCTGAGAAAATGCAAGAATTTGCGTGGTTTGAGTTCCCCCCCGAAGGAAGCGGTTTCTGCTCGGCTGGGTCTTGAGAGCAAGAGTAATCAAACTGCTGTAGCCTAACGTGTAACGCAGGATGTCGTTTGTTAAACTGGGAAGCTTGCACGATTTCCTGTGATTTAAGGGCTTGGATTGAGTTACCTGGGAGCACAGAGCAGGGAAGAAAAGAAAAAAAAATGGAAAAAAAAGATAGAAGAATGTAGTACAAAAAGTACCGAGGCGGTGGTGAAGTTGTGAAGTGTTGGTTTTGGAGATTCTGGGGTGTAACAGCTGTTCGGGCACCCGAAATCTTGGTCGCTCTGAATCTTGGTGGCATTTTGCTGTGGTCCCGGGGCTCCCTCGCAGCCTGGCCGGCAGCTGGTGTGCCCGGACGTGCCCTTGGTCCGGGGCAGAGCTGGCACCCGGCGCTGTGCCCTGGCACCGCCTGGGCAAACAGGGGCTGGGAGCAGCCCCGGCCGTGACTCAGTTGTTGTTTGAGGTGTGGAGTCCTCGAAGCACGGGGATAATGGCAGGTTTGGGGTGCGGGTCACCGTCACCCCGGGCCCGGCCCAGGGCTGTCCGTCTGTCCCGACACGTGCGGAGCCCGTCCCCAGGCAGCCGGGGCTGGGGGGCCGCTGCTGGCCCGGCTGTTCCGGGGCAGAGCCCAGGGCAGGGGTGCCTGGGCTGCCAACAGCCGGGGCTGGGGCTCTCCATCACCAGGGAGCTCCTCGGCTCCCTGGGATGCCGGTGGGAGCAGCCGCATGCAGGAGATGGAGCTGCTGGAGACCTCGTGGGTTCCCCCAGAATCAGCGTCTCGGTGCTGGGCGCTGCAGGAGGGTGGTCCTGGCTCTGCTTGGGTTCCTGTGCTGGGCAGAGGCTGCTCTGAAGGCAGCGGTGCTTTCCTGGCCTCTTTCCTGGAGATGCGTGTGCCATGTGGTGCCTGCAGGAGCCTGGCGTGTCCCTGCTCCACTGAGGACTTCAGCCACCCCTGGGGCCACCTGGGGTGTTCTGGGCCTCCTTGAGCTTTGGAGTCTGACTCCAACACCAGTCCCAGTGCCTCAATCCCAGTGCCTCAATCCCCTTACCCAGGTGCTTCTTTGGCCTGTGCAGGAGCCTGAACGCTGCCATGGGCAGGAGGAGACAACCCCAGGGAGGGGAGTGATGCCACCGAGCCCCATCCTGTGGGGTGCCCGATCCTTGCCGTGCCCCCTGCCCATTCCGGGTGCCCGATTCTTGCCGTGCCCCCTGCCCACCCTGTGTGCCCGATCCTTGCCGTGCCCCTTGCCCATTCCGGGTGCCCGATCCTTGCCGTGCTCCCTGCCCACCCTGGGTGCCCGATCCTTGCCGTGCCCCCTGCCCGCCCTGGGTGCCCGATCCTTGCCGTGCCCCCTGCCCACTCTGAGTGCCCGATCCTTGCCGTGCCCCCTGCCCACCCTGTGTGCCCGATCCTTGCCGTGCCCCCTGCCCATCCCGGGTGCCCGATCCTTGCCGTGCCCTCTGCCCTTCCCTGGGTGCCCGATCCTTGCCGTTCCCCCTGCCCACCCTGGGTGCCCGATCCTTGCCGTGCCCCCTGCCCATCCCGGCGGGTTTGGTTTGCGTTGGCAGGAGCAGCAGCTGCCCATGCCCGTGCCCATGCCCATGCCCATGCCCGGCTCCGTCTTTCCCGAGGCTCTGTGCTGGGGAGCCCATTGTGGTGGTTTTGCAGAAGCAGCGCTCACCCTGGGAGTGACTGTGCTAATGAGCTGGTGCAGGAGCTGTCAGCCGCCCCCGAGCCGATGCTGCCACTACAGGCAGCTGCCTACACGCGGGGAGTAATTACAGAGGGAGACGGAGGCTGCTGGCACCTTCCGCCAACGTAATCCCACCTTTGGCGCTGCTGATTCACTGCCAGCAGCCCCGAGTAGCGGCACAGCTGGGCCGGGCTCTGCCCCGAGCCCCGAGGATGAGGGTGAGGGTGAGGATGAGGATGGGCAGCTCCCTCCCCGCTCAGCCTCTGCTCAGGATTGTCTTTTTGCAGAAAGCAGGGACTGGCAAATCTTCCTTCCCCCGAAGACAGATCTGTCTCCTCCTGCCAGATGAGATTATTGCCGTTTACAGCCCAACCTCCATTTCATTTTAAAGCCATTTTTCCATGCGGGAGATGGGTTTGCAGTGGTGCTGTGCGAGTGGCTCTGCCTTTGAAGAGGTGTTTGCCTAAGGACACCCCGAACTCCAGGCTGAATTGTCGTGCAGGAAGGCGTGGACAGAATTCCTGAGGGTCCTTAGCTCCCCATCAGCTGTAATCAATTGTCCAGAAAGGCGTGGACAGAATTTCTGAGGGTCCTTAGCTCCCCATCAGCTCTAATCGATGTTACTGTGGCACCACAGCCTCTCCTCATGTCCAGAGGGATGGGAGCAATTCTTCCTTAAGGGGTTCAGGAGGGAAACTGGCTGGTTTGGTGTGTTTGGAGTGCAGGGATGATGAGTGTGGCACAGGAGGAAGGAGCCAGCCTGTGGCACCCCAAATTCCATGCCCTGTTCTCCCTGCCTTGAGGCAGCCCAGTCTTGGGAAACCTGTGGGGAGCACCCCAGGGCACTGCCAGGGCTCTGAGCTGGCAACGCTGCTCCATCCATCCATGCCAGGCTGGGAGAGCCCTCCTGGCTTCCCTGGAGATGGGACCCCTGCAGGCAGGTGGGCAAAGAGGTGTTGGGGAGCAGCAGCTCCTGCCTGGCCACGGTGTCCCCCACTGCTGGATCGGGGTGCTGCTCCCCAGAGTGAGTGTCCCCTGGGGTGCTGCTCCCATCTCCTGGGTGCTGCTCCCATCTCCTGGGTGCTGCTCCCATCTCCTGGGTGCTGCTCCCCATCCCCTGGGTGCTGCTCCCATCTCCTGCTCCCTATCCCTGGGTGCTGCTCCCCATCCCCTGGTACTGATGCCTGGGTGCTGCTGTGCCCGGGTGCCCGTGGTGCTGAGCCTGCCCTGGTTAAGGTTTCAGTGCTGCTGCTCGTGTTGCAGGGCACAGGGCAAAGAGCTCCTCTGGGCACAGCCTGGGGCTCAGCCCCTGGTGCCACCTCTTGGGGACCCTCCTGGCTCCTTGGGGGAGACGCCAGCCCCGGGGACTTGAGGATGGCCCAGCCTTGCAGGGCTGGCCAGGGCTGGGTGCTGAGGGTGTTCCCACAGTGCTGGGGGCTCTGAGCCCCCTGTGGATCCCCATCCCAGCTCTCCTCAAGCCCAGACCCCGACACAAAGATGTTCAGAGCTCTGAGACTTGTGTCCCCTCGTCCTCTGGCATGACAGCCAGGAGAAACTAAATGCCTTTAGATGGGGACTGGATTTTTCCCTGACTTTTCCCCCTGATTTTCCCTGGGCTCCTTCTTGACAGAAACTTGGCTCTTGAGACCCCCAGGGCCGCCACTGATGGTGCCAGGCAGGACAAGCTGTGATGGAGGAGGCAGCACTGGGCTTTGCTGAGCATTAAATATTGATAGCAAAATGATGAAAGTGCTCCTGGAGCAGGGCTGACCCATTTAGACACAAAACTTCCTTGGGGCTGAGCTGTTCCTGCAGTGTGGCAGTGGCAGTGAGAGTCCCCTGGTGCTGCCCCTCCAGCCTGCTCCTCGTGGTCACCCAGGGATGGGTGACACCCAGGGAATCATCAGTGTCACCCAGGGAGTCCCTGGCTGGGCCCTGTGCGGGATCAGCCCTGCAGGGAGCCACAAAATCCTTAAAAAGCTTGGAAAACCCCTCTGAGTGCATCAGGTCCAACCATTCCCTCGGTGCTGCTGTCCCCAGGTGCCACATCCGTGTGGGTTTGGAGCCCTTCCAGGGATGTGTTGGGAATGCTGCCCTTCAGCTGTTGAGCAGGACTTGCCTGAGCCACTTCCAGCTTGAGCAGGGCTTAAATTTGGGATTGAGGAGCTGGAATTCTGCGATCCTTGCGGGCTCCCTCCAGCTCGGGGTGTTTTATTCCTTCCCCTGATTCTAAACTTTTCCTTATGGGTTAATTTGCAGGTTGGAGCATCCTGGCTGTAGCTGGAGTGTGCTCAGAGGGCAGAAAAGGGACCTTGTTTGTGCTGCCTCTTCCCCCACCCCACGGAGCAGGGCTGTGTCCTGGAGACCTTGTGCTTTGCATTAGTTTCATTTTTGGCAGCTGAACAAAGCCGTGCCAATCCCGGGGAGCTGAGTGGTATTACCCAGGGAATTCAGCTCCGTGGAACAAAGAAAAGCCCTTTCAACCCTTGGCTGCCAGGTTTTGTGTCTGTGTTTTTCTGAACTCTGCCCAGGCAGCCCATGGAAGGCAAACAACTTGTGGGTGCTGCTGAGGGGGCAAAAATCTGGGGAAAATGAGATTTGCTTTCATTGCCTCAGTGCCACTGAATATTTCCTTTGCTGCTGGTGTCCTGCAAGGCTGGACTCACCCCTCCTGAGGGGCACAGCCCTGGATGAGCCCTGTGTTGGCAGGGGAGCAGCTCCAGCACATCCCTGGTGTGAGGGTGATGCTGCTGAGCCCGTCCATGGCACAAACCCCATGGTTCATTCCCCACTGTTCCTCCTTGGCAGGGCTCTCACCTGGAGAGGGGTGAGGAGGCTCTGGAGTCACCTTCCCTTCCCACCTGGAGTGAGAGCAGGGCTTGGACAGGGCTATTTTTATCTGTGCAGTGAGGAGCCCTTGTCACCACTCTCATCCTGCCAGGCTGTTTTTGTTGGAGGCTCCAGACAATGTTTTAAAAACATTCACTTTCAGCAAACTTCCTCCTGGGGGCTGCTGGATTTTATTTGGCCAGCTCAGAGTCACCTTCCCGCTCCTTCAGCCGCCCCACGAGCCCCTTTGGGGGATTTTATCTCTTTATTTGTTGCTTTAAAACGTCTCCTGTGGATCGGTGGGGAGCAGGACCTGCCCTGAGCAGTGCCAGGGCAGGGCTGTGCTTTGATTCCCTCTGCTTTGGGCAAGATGCGCTGGATTTTGGACGGTGCTTTGCCTGGGGATCCTGTTCCATCCTCAATTCCCTGGGTTTAATGCTCAGGATGATGTGTTTACACGGGCACTGCTGAGAAAATCACACTATTTACATATCCCTGTGCACGTCCTCGTACACAAACACTGCTCTGAACCTGCAAACCGCCCAAAAATCTCCTCCCTGCAGAAATTCTGCCAACATTTCTGCTGCTTAACTCTTGCTCAGCCTGAGTGTGGGGCAGGGGAATTGTCCCTGTCCCTGCCATGGCCATTGATGCCAGCCTCTGGCTGATCCGTGGGACAGCCCGGGTGCATTTTGGACTGGAGTTAAACCCGATGTGGGCAGGATGGAGCAATCCTGCCAGTGCTAATTAACTGCTGTGCAATTGTCTCCTACACGCTGGAGAACACCTGGCCTGTTGCTACAGGTCCATCTTTCTCTTTTCAGGCTGAGCACATCCACCAAAGTGCTCTGAGCTGCCCCAAAACAGCTTCCAGGGGCCCTGGTGTTGGCCTGCAGCCTTAATTAGTGGGGCAGCTCCTCATTAGCCTCGTCAATCATTTGCAGTTGTGGCTGGTGCTGCGGGGACCTGCTGGGGACAGGCTCTGGGGACATCCTCAGCCTGCAAGGACGAGCAGATCCCTCCTGAAGCAGCAGCACCGGGGCGGTGCCACCCCTCTGGCTGTGCCCCGCACGGATTCCTGCCCAGAGGAGCCCTGAAAGGGCTCTGGCTGAGCCCTGCACACCTGGGGAGAAAATTCAGCTGTCAGAGCCAAGGGCCGGGCAGCAGGAACTGGGATAAAAATGCCTCGGGCAGAAAATGAGCTTTATAGTGTCGGGGCAGCCTGAGATGAGGTGACAGATGCTTAATCAGCTTATTCCCTGTAAGTGTCTGCCTGCCTGCCCTGCCCTGCCCGGGCTGGGGCTCTGCCAGCAGCCTGGGGGTGCAGAGCCCCATTCCCGGCAGGAATGCCCCAGGAATGCCCCATTCCCAGCAGGATTGCCCCAGGAATGCCCCAGGGATGCCCCATTCCCACAGGAATGCCCCATTCCCAACAGGATTGCTCCAGGAATGCCCCATTCCCAGCAGGGATGCCCCAGGGATGCCCCATTCCCGGCAGGATTGCCCCTGTTCCCACAGGAATGCCCCAGGAATGCCCCATTCCCAGCAGGATTCCCCAGCAGCAATGCCCCATTCCCCAGCAGCAATGCCCCATTCTCACAGGAATGCCCCAGGAATGCCCCTGCTCCCCCAGGAATGCCCCATTCCCAGCAGGGATGCCCCAGCAATGCCCCATTCCCCAGCAGCAATGCCCCATTCCCACAGGAATGCCCCAGGAATGCCCCAGCAATGCCCCATTCCCCAGCAATGCCCGTGGTGCATCCCCCTCAGGGCCCCTCAGGCTCTGGGCTCCATTCTCTGGGGGCACCTCGGTGTGGGGGTGTCCCCAGGGTGGGGCAGGGGCTCAGGACCAGCCCTGGGGCCGGGCTGGATGCAGAGGAGCAGGGAGGGAATGAGGACCTGGGATCTGGGGGGGCTGAGGGCCCTGGCAGGGAGGGCTGTGCACACACAGAGCCCCTCTTGTTCTCCTGAGCCGATTATTCCTTCCCCCATCTGAGCTGAGGGCCTTGGGGCCAGGCAGGAGAGCTCAGGCAGCGCTGTCCACGCTGACCCTCACCCTGGGCAGTGCCAGGGGACCCTGGTACCATCCTGGTGCCTTCCTGGTGCCATCCCTGGCACAGCTCAGGGCTGCTGGGGGCTCTGCCCTGCCCCACCCTGGCTCACCCTCACCCTGGGCAGTGCCAAGGGACCCTGGTGCCATCCCTGGGGGCTCTGCTCTGCCCCATCCTGGCTGCACATTTGGGATTTGCTCTTCAGCCCTCCCTGCTGCTCTCTGTGGCCATCCTGGGGGTGGGACATCACCTGCCACCGTCCCCAGCTCTTGGGTCACCTCCCTGCTGGTCTGAGGGCTGCTGCTGCCCTGAACAGCCACTCACAGCTGCTATTATGGTTGTTTTTGCTGTATCTGGTAATTTTCTGGTTGGGGCATTCACTTTCCTCTCCTGGGGAAGCAGCTGGTGCTGGGGCACTGCAGAACCCCCTTGTTCCTTGTTCCTGTCCCCCTGACCCAGCAGGGTCTTCCTCAGTGGAGGATCCTGGGGCCTCTCCAGGGAGCTGGGGGGAATTTTTTGCTCTCTTTTTGTGTTTATCAGGACAGAGCAGAGCACGGAGCTTTTGACCCCACTCCCCATCACCCCTGCTAATCCCAGCCATGTTCTCTCCCCTTTAGACGATCATGGAGCAGTTCAATCCCAGCCTCAGGAATTTCATTTCTATGGGGAAGACCTATGAAAAAGCCTTAGCAAGTAAGTGACATTGGGGCTGCCAGGCTGGGGAGGGGGAAAGATGGAGAATCTTTGGGGTTTTTGTTGAAAATCTTTGGGGTTTCTGTTGAAAATCTTTGGGTTTTTTGTTGAAAATCTTTGGGGTTTTTGTTGAAAATCTTTGGGGTTTTTGTTGAGAATCTTTGGGGTTTTTGTTGAAAATCTTTGGGGTTTCTGTTGAAAATCTTGGGGTTTTTGTAGAAAAGTTCCTTGTTCCCACGGGGAAGGAACTGGGAGGGTGGTGATGGGCAAGGCCATGGGTGCAGGAGGGATTCCAGGGAGAAAATGCTGGGAGGCAGCAGGTTAACAAAACACATCTGCAACCAGTTCTTTAAATGTTTGTTTAAAGTATTGAGAATTGAGGTTTTAAGCTCTGCTTAAAGAGGTGCTATTGAAATGTTTAAATTGCCCAGAAGAATGAAGAGAAGGGAAAAGCCCAAAAGTCTTGATGGCAGCTCTTGATTGGGAATGCAGGATCCTATTGGGAGCCATTAGGGAGGTGTAGATTTAAGTGATCAAAAGGAAGCTGGGAACTGATTAAACCCCAAAATGGACTATTTTGACTCAAACTGGCTCTGTGCACTGCCTGGGCCCTCCTCAGCTGGGTTTAAAGGAGCTTTAAGCTCTGCCCAACCCAGAGCTGTGTTTTTCCAGGGAGGGCTCTGCTCCCTTCAGAGCTGCACGTGTCTCCTGGGTTTTATTTTGGAATAATCCCAGTGAAAATGCCCGTGGGGCCGAGTCTGTCATCACCTTCAGCCGGGGTGGGGGAAATCCCTTTGGTGCCTGAAATGTCAGGGTTGGGACCCAACCTTTGGGGAGGATCCTGCTCCTCCCTTTCCCCTTTCCCCTCCTTTCCCTCTCCTCTGCCCCAGGTCAGGTGAGCTCCTGGCTGTTCCCAGGGGGATTTTTGAGCCCTCCCCCTGTTCCCAGGTGCCCGGACACAGCGTCCTGCCAGCGCTGGGCACTGCTTTGAGCTGGGATTTAATGGCTCACCCAGCGTGACGGGGCAGTGCCCGTCCAGCTCCACTGCCCAGGGCCCTCTGATCCCCAGGGAGGGGGCACAGGGCACCCTCCCCACAGGCAGCAGCTTCCCAGAAATTCCAGGGGCACAGAAATTCCAGGGGCACAGGGCTCCCTCTTCCCAGAAATTCCAGGGGCACAGAAATTCCAGGGGCACAGACATTCCTGGGTTACAGGGCACCCTCCCCACAGGCAGCAGCTTTCCAGAAATTCCAGGGGCACAGAAATCCAAGGGCACAGGGCACCCTTCTCACAGGGAGCAGCTTTCTAGAAATTCCTGGGGCACAGGGCACTCTCTTTCCTGCAATTCCAGGGGCACAGGGCACCCTCCCCACGGGCAGCATCTTTCCCTGAATTCCAGGGCATCCCAGCAAAACGGGGCTCATAATTTGGGGCTGCTTTTCCCTGCTGGTTCCCTCCTGGCAGCAGAGGCAGGGTCTGGCAGGGGGAAGAGCTGCTGACCCTTGGGACCGTGTGTTTGGTTTGTTCTCCTCATGTTTAACTACCTGGGGGAGGTGGAGCTGTTTGTCCCTGTCCCGCCAGCCGTGGCACTTTGGGATAAGCACTGGGATCGCTGCCTTTGTGCTTTTCCCACATCCCTGCTGTGCAGCCAGGGATCTTCCTGTAATTTTTAACTCGGCTTGGCTCATCCTTGCCCTGGATCCCGAGCTGGGGGCAGCTGGAGGAAGTGCAGAGCCCAGGAGGCAGAGCAGAGGCAGCGCTGGAAGCTGGAGCTGGGGCTGTACAGCGTGTTCTGTGATTAGAGGAAACCCCCTGCTTATCTGATTAGAGTCGAGTGTGGAGCTGGAATGTCAACAAACAAGGCTGAGCTGTAATGAAAGTCTGTGATATTCAATTATTCTGCAGTGATTTCTCCCAGCAGCCTGATGCTTGCACTGCAATGAAAACCACCACAGTCCTGCATGCACCTTTTTTAATCCTGAATTACCCTGTAATCTCACTGCTCCAGCTCCCTGCGCTGCCTTTCCTCTGTTTGTTGTGTGCTCCCTCCCCGTGGGGTTGAGCCCTTTGAGGTAATGCCTATTTTAGTGTCCACGGTCTCCCCAGTGCCCCAGAAGTTCCAACAGCCTTTAAGGAGAGCATAACCTCAGCATAACCTCATTATTTTGGTGCTTTTTAGGCATGACATATGCAGCCAAGGGGTACTTTGATGCTCTGGTGAAGATGGGAGAGCTGGCCAGTGAAAGCCAAGGATCAAAAGAATTGGGTAAGTCCCCATTTGCTGCTGAATGGAGATTTCTGGAGATTGCCAGGGGTGAAACAGATCTTGGTGCTGCTGGGGAGCAGAGCTCAGTGTGGAGCTGCTCCTGCCGTGCCTCAGGATTTGCTGCTAATGCAGCCTGGAAACCCCCTGGTACCCTGAGTGTCAGGGCTGTGGCTCAGGGTGGTTTTGTGGTGGTTTGTTCTCGCTTGGAGAAGGGGAAGCAGCGGATTTTGGCCAGGGAGCTGGGGCTGAGCTGCCCCTCAGGGGCCTCTGGAGGGGCTGCTGGGGGTCCCCTGTGCTGTGGGGCTGGGATTGTGCCCTGGCTGCAGCAGCTCTGCCCTGCTGGAGCCTCCCTGTGCCCACTGCCAGGGCTCTGTGTTTGCCCAGTCCATGGCAAACATCACGAGCTGTGGCCCTGCTGCCTCCTTCCCCTTTCTCACCCTCATTGCTCAGGAAATCCCTTAAAGGGCAGCTGCTTTCCAACCTCCCTATTGCCCAGGCGTCCTCCTGTGTCCTCCCTTCTCACAGCCCTGGTCTGGGGGACCCTCCAAGCTCCCCCTATGGTCTGAAGGGACCCTCCCAGGTCCCCCCATGGTCTGAGGTGACTCTCCCAGGTTCCCCTATAGTTTGAGGTCACCCTCCCAGCTCTCCTCATGGTCTGAGGGGACCCTCCCAGGTCCCTCCATGGTTCGAGCTGACTCTCCCAGCTCCCCCCGTGGTCTGAGGTGGCTCTCCCAGCTCCCCCCACAGTTTGAGGGGACCCTCCCAGCTCCCCCCACAATTTGAGGGGATCCTTCCAGGTTCCCCCACAATTTGAGAGGATCCTTCCAGGTCCCTCCATGGCCTGAGGTGGCTCTCCCAGCTCCCCCCACAGTTTGAGGGGACCCTCCCAGCTCCCCCCATGGTTTGGGGTGACCCTCCCAGCTCCCTCCACGGTTTGGGGTGACCATCCCAGCTCTCCCCATGGTCTGAGGTGACCCTCCCAGCTCCCCCTGGGATGCTGCACCTTGTTAAGGCTCTCATGGAGTGCTCTAGGCCTTGGTCTGATGTGTGTGCAGTCCCAGGTGAGCCCCTCCTCCTCCTCCTCCTCCTCCCCCTCCATGCCTCCCGCAGCTCTGGCCAAGTGCTCATTAAAGCATCTCTCCGGGGCAGGCAATTAACAGCGAGCTGGAGCTGAAAGGGCTCTGAAGGCTGCAGGAGCCGGGAGCAGCCCCTGGGCTCTGGGTTTGGTGTCAGAGCTGCTCCCCCAGCCCCGCTGCTGCTGCCTGGGAACTGTGCTGGGGAAGCAGCGAGTGTCTATGGAAACCGAGGCTGGATTAGAGCTGCCTGGAGCGATCTGCTGCTGTTTAATAAATAAAACAAAGAGCCCTGTGTGCTGCAGAGCCTGGAGGAGCTGCCCCTGCGCTCTGGGGCTGAGCACAGCAGCTCTGCCCTCCTGCCAGGGAGCCTGGGCAGCCCCAGCTCTGCTCACACTTCACACCTGGCTTTGGGCACCCTGGCCCTGCTTCCTCACCCAGACCAGGGCTTTGGTGTCCTTGGTGCCCTCTCCCCGTGTGTGGCTGGAGGATTTTGGGGTGTGAAGTGTTCCCACATCGCTGCTCCTTCCCCTGCTGGTGTGGGCACATCCCAGGGAGGCTCCTGTGCTGATGCTGCTGATATTTGCTGTGATGTGGCAGCTGCCCCGGGCAGGAGAAAGTGCAGATAACAGTTCTGGCTGCAGCTGAGAGCAGCTGGGCCACAGCCCCCTCCCAGCAGATGTGTCAGCAGGGCTGGGGCTGCTCTGGGAGCTGCTCTGGGCTGGGGCTGGGCTGGCCAGGGCTGCAGCCTCTCCTGGGGACGCCTTGGCCTTGTCACTGCCTGGGCTGGCAGTGCTGGCAGTGCCACAGAGGGCTCTGGGCTATTTCACAGCACCCCAGGCTGCTGTGGGCTGGGAGGGGCCTTAAAACCCTTCCAGTGCCACCCCTGCCATGCAGGGACACCTCCCACTGTCCCAGGTGCTCCAGACCCCATCCAGCCTGGCCTTGGGCACTGCCAGGGATGGGGAATTCATTTTAGAGCAATAAACAGGAATTCTCTTCATTGCTGCTTCCATTAATGGAGGGGACCTCAAAACCCATCCCATTCCACCCCTGCCATGCAGGGACACCTCCCACTGTCCCAGGCTGCTCCAACCTGGCCTTGGGCACTGCCAGGGATGTGGGGAATTCATTTTAGAGCAATAAACAGGAATTCTCTCCATTGCTGCTTGCATTGATGGTGTGTCCCCAGCTCCCTCCCTGAGTGGGATTTTCTTCCATGAGTTTTTAGGGAAAGCTGCTTCAAGAAGGGAAGGTGTAGGCTGGATATTAGGAAGCAATTTTTCACCAAAAGAATAATAAAGCACTGGAATGCTCTTCCCAGGGAGGTGGCAGAATCACCATCTCTGGCTGTGTTTAAATAAACACTGGACATGGCACTGGGTGCTGGAGTCTGGTTGAGGTGTGAGGGCACAGGTTGGACTCAATGATCTCAGAGGTCTCTTCCAGCCTCATTATTCTGTGATTCTGTGGCACACTCTGACTCCCAGGAGAGCTGCATTTTGACCTGAGGCTGTGGAAAAGGCTCCCACAATTGATTGGTAGCACTGAGATTACGGCAGTGCAGTTGATTAGAAGTGTGTAATTTCACTTTTCTGCCTAAATCCAGCAGGCAGAAAGGCAGGGATGGGCCTTGGGATGGAGCTGGAGGGAGAAGTGGGGGGCTGAGATTGGGGTGGCCCAAAGAGCAGATGTTGGAGCTCTGGATGCTGAGGATTTTAGACTTTCTGTGCTGACACGTGTGTTTAAAAAAAGACTGACATGGCACTTGGTGCTGGAGTCCGGTTGAGGTGTTAGGGCACAGGTTGGGCTCGGTGATCTCAGAGGTCTCTGCCACCCTCATTATTCTGTGATTCTGTGAAGGTGTCAGCCGGGCCTGTGGGTGCTCTGTCAGGATTGCAGCTCATGTTCCCAGCCTGCATGGGAGAAAACCTGAGATGGTTGTTTTCCCTCCAGACCTCTCTGTGCTGAGCTGGGCGTTTGTCCCTGGTGTCCCTTTGGCCCAGGACCTGTCCCAAGGCAGGGGGACACCTGCAGGTCTCTCTCCTGGGACAGGGAGCCCTCTGGAGCTCAGCCCCTGCCCAGCACGGGGCATTTCCTGAATTCCCCATCAGATTTTGGGAGCTGTGTGCAGACAGGATAATCCTGTGTGGGAAAGGAAGGGTGGCAGCAAGCACAGCAGTAATGCCCTGGAGCTGTAATCGGCTCTGGGGGCTCAAGCCCAGCTGCAGTGTCTGCTGGGGCAGGCTGAGCTTTGGGGGAGCAGAGCTGGGGATTTGGGGTGTCCCCAGCCCCATGGAGCTGTCATTGTCCCAGAGCAGCAGCAGCCAGTCTGCCCAGTGCAGTTCCCTGCTGGCCAGGCCCTGGTGTTTGGGATGGGCTCTGTGCCCTTGAGGGGCTCCCTGGGCTGTTCTTCATCCCTTCTTGTGGTGGTTTTGGGGAGGATAATCTGAAATGAGGAGCCTGTGTCTGCCCCTTCCAACAGCTCCAGCCTCCTGCACGAGTCCTCAGGTGACTTTGGCCCTTGCCCAGCTCCTGCCTGGGTCCCTTGGATGCTGCTCAAAATGTCATTTCTTTTGTCCTTCTTGAAAACTGGGCCATGGCAAAGTCATGGGGAGGGGTTTTCTTCTGCTGCAGAGCAGAGCTGGAGCGTTTCCCCCGGGATCTGGGGCTGGGCAGCTCCTCCGGGCTGGGGCTGCATTTTGGGAGGTGCATTTTGCTCAGCACTGGGGAGGGTGAAGCTGCCCTGGGTGACACACCAGGCTGTGAAAGGGCAGCAATTACCGAGCCATTGTTGAGCTGACAGGAGCCCCTGGCACATAATGGCTTTTGATTTCCACAGTAAAATCGGGATGTGGCACCTTAATGGCTTGGGTGAGATTTCACAGCTCATCCAGCCCCACCCCTGCCATGCCCAGGGACACCTTCCACTGTCCCCGGGCGCTCCAAGCCCTGTCCAGCCTGGCCTGGGACATTTCCATGGATTCAGGGCTATCCCTGGCTCCAGGCTCTGCCCTGCTCCTGGCAGCTCAGGGGCTTTGTGCTGCACCAGATCCTTCAGGAGCAGGGGTTAATCTGGTAATTGGAGTCGGGGATGTCCACACCTGCAGGGTGTGGACAGGGGTGGAGATGGATCCCACAGGGGTGGGGATGGATCCCACAGGGGTGGATGGGGTGGAGATGGATCCCACAGGGGTGGAGATGGATCCCACAGGAGTGGATGGGGTGGAGATGGATCCCACAGGGGTGGATGGGGTGGAGATGGATCCCACAGGGGTGGATGGGGTGGAGATGGATCCCATAGGTGTGGGTAGGGGTGGAGATGGATCCCACAGGTGCCCAAGGTCACCCTGCAGCCCTGAGGGGGCTCAGGGACTGCTGGGGCTGGGGTTTGGTGCCCACTGGGACCAGTCAGGGCAGTGCCCAGGGGACACAGAGCTCCAGGAAATATTTTCCTGTGGTTTGTGGCAGTGTCCCTGCTGTGGAGATGAGCTCCTTTTGGGGATCCTTTAAATTTGGGCTTAACAAGGCACCTAACACCTTGTGGGTGACAGCTTGTGCTGCTGGAGGAAGGGGAGCTGCAGGAATGAGGGTGCAGAGACACCTCTGAAAGACTCTGCTGCCTTGGGAAGGGCTTTTCCAGCCTCTGAAAGACTCTGCTGCCTTGGGAAGGGCTTTTCCAGCCTTCTGCTGCCTTGGGAAGGGTTTTTCTGCTGCCTCCATCCCTGCCATGAGGAGCAGACAGCCCAGGCTGGTTCTCACCACCTGTGTTGGTAGGAGGAGGAGGAGGAGGAGGAGGGCTGTGAATGAGCATCTGTGAGGCCCATGTGGCCTGGCTGGGGCTCCCAGCGTGTGGCAGAGGTGTGCAAGGTCTGGGTGTCACCTTCCCTGCTGATGGTGACAGCTCCCAGGGTCCCCACCTGCCCTGGCCCCGTGCTGGGGGGGTCCTGCAGGGATGCTGGGGGGCATCTGAATCAGCCAGTGCCACAAATACAGCCCTGAATTAACCAGCACAGCCCTGAATTAACCAGTGCCACAAATACAGCTCTGAATCAACCAGTACAGCTCTGAATTAACCAGTACAGCCCTGAATTAACCAGTGCCACAAATACAGCTCTGAATCAACCAGTACAGCTCTGAATTAACCAGTGCCACAAATACAGCCCTGAATTAACCAGTACAGCTCTGAATTAACCAGTGCCACAAATACAGCCCTGAATTAACCAGTACAGCCCTGAATCAACCAGTGCCACAAATACAGCTCTGAATCAACCAGCACAGCTCTGAATTAACCAGTACAGCCCTGAATTAACCAGTGCCACAAATACAGCTCTGAATCAACCAGTACAGCTCTGAATTAACCAGTACAGCCCTCAATTAACCAGTACAGCTCTGAATTAACCAGTGCCACAAATACAGCCCTGAATTAACCAGTACAGCCCTGAATCAACCAGTGCCACCAGCACAGCCCTGAATCAACCAGTGCCACAAATACAGCCCTGAATTAACCAGTGCCACCAGTACAGCCCTGAATTAACCAGTGCCACCAGCACAGCTCCTGGGCACTTGCTGGGCTGTGCATCCTGGCACAGACCCAGCCCTGGCCCCATCCAGGGGGGCTGTGGGGGGCACAGAACATGCCAGGGGTGCATCCCAGTGCTGTCTCCCTGCTAGAAGGCTCAGTGGCCACTGCCCAGCCCGAGTGGGAGCCCCAGCCAGGGTGTCTTGGGAAGCTGCTGCTGCTCCCTTTACCTGATGTGTTCATAAACAAAGGAAAATCGCCTCGGGCAGTGCCAGGCGGGGCTGATGAGTTATCAGCACATGGCCCAGTCCTCTGGGCTGGCAGAAGTGAAACCCTGGTGGAGAGGAAAGGGATGAGTCAGCTGCAGAGGAGAAGCTGGTGGTTCCCCCAAGCTGATGGTTCCCCAAGCTGATGGTTCCCCCAAGGTGATTGTGTCCCCAAGGTGATTGTGTCCCCAAGCTGATTGTTCTCCATGCTGGTTGTTGTTCCCCCACACTGATTGTTCCCCACACTGGTTGTTGTTTCCCTGCTGTCTCCATCCCCCTGCACACAGTTGGATCCTGCAGCTCAGGGCTGGAAGGGGCTGCTCTGAGCCTGGGGCTCGCTGTGCTGCTCTGGGGGAGCCAGAACACCCTGCAGGGGCTCCCAGTGGGATTGCTCAGGCTGGAGGAGCCCTCAGGGTCACTGAGGCCACCATTGCACCATGCCCCAGGTGCCACCTCTGCCTGTGATGGGTTTGCCTCAGGTTTGGCTGTGTCAGGTCCTCAGCACCGAGGTGTTGTGTGAGCAGGGTTGGTGCTGGCTGGTGTTTAGGGGATGTGCCCAAGTGCTGGCCCTGATCCTGGGGTAGCCAGGGTGCTGCTGCTGGTGGGAGATGGTCCCTGGCACTGGGCACCACCTCCTGCCACCCTTGCAGGACACCCTGGGCCGCTGCACCCCTGCCCACCTCTGTCTCTGAGCTGTCTGCTCCTTGATTAACACATCCTCGGTGTTTCCATTAGACACGGCCCACAGCCCGTTTTACAGGGGGGGTCAGAAAATGAGCCCGAGTCTCTGAGAGCTGCAGAGCAAAGCCCTGGGAGCTGAGCTGCCACTGCTTCCCCCTGTGCAGGGGCAAAGCCGGCTGTGCTGGTGCCAGCAGGGATGTGGAACAACCAGTTTGCCCGCGGTGGGTGGGTGTGGCAGGGCAGGGCCCTCAGCAGCGCTGTGGTTGCTCTCCCAGGGCGATACTGTGAGTCAGCCCCGAGCAGCAGCTCCTCCTCCTCCTCCTCCCCATGCTGGCCTCTCTGTGTACCCCGAGTGGGGTTCCCCACCTGCAGGATGTGTGTTTTGGCAGCTCCCAGGAGGCCTGAGCCCTGTCCTGCTGCCCTTCAGGGGTTAATGCTCAGATCCCTGTGGCAGCTGATGGGAGCGGCCCTGCCGTGGGTGGCCCTGCTGCTGCCAGGGCTGGGACACAGCCGGGCTGGTGCCCCACCATCTCACCCTGGCACAGTGCCACAGGCTCCTTTCCAAAGCGGATTTTGGGCTCTTGAGGCTTCCCAGCTGCCAGGGTGTCCCTCAGCCACAGTTTAGCAGCTCTGGGCTGGCTTTGGGGTGAGATGTTCAGTCTCCCATCGTCTGTAGGGTTCTGTGAAGCAGCTCACAGTGTGCAGGTGTGGGGTGGCAGAGTGGGTTCCCATTCTCTGTGGGAATTCACATTGTGTTTTGGGGGATCCAGTTCAAATCCTGCTGCTCAGTCACAGTTTAGGCTCACCTCTGCAGCTCTGGCTTTGGGGTGAGATGTCTCAGCCTCCCATGCCCTGCAGGGTTTTGTGAAGCACAGCATGCAGGTGTGGGGTGGCAGAGGTGCCCTGTGAGAATTCACGCTGTGTTTTGGGGGATTCAGTTCAAATCCTGCTGCTCAGTCACAGTTTAGGCTCATCCCTGCAGCTCTGGGCTGGCTTTGGGGTGAGATCTTTGTTTGTGGGGCACCCTGGGCACCCCTCCCTTTGTTTGTGGGGCACCCTGGGCACTGCTGCAGCTCAGGGGGCACAGGGGACAGTGGCCCTGCCACAGCCAGGTCTGGCACTGCAGCAGAGGGGGCAGAGCCTGCCCAGGATGGGATTTTAGTGTTTGCAGAAGGCTTTGGGACACAGAGTGTGGTGCAAAGCAGGGGTTGCTGCAGGCAGGAGGGCACAGGCAGGTTGTTCCTGGTCACCTGGGGGTGCTGACACTCAGCTGGGACATGACCCATGTGCCCAGGGACATGGGGGGACATTGGGGACAGGCTGGGGCTGCCCTGCATGCCCAGCTGTGCTGGGGGAGGCTCCCCCTCGCTCCCTCACCCCAGGGAGATGCTGCCTTTCATGTACAAACAGCTCCACAGAGGCCGGGAGCCTCCTGGGAAGCTGCAGCCCGCCATGCAGGGAGGAAAAGCTTCCAGAGGCAGCCCTGAGAAGAGCTGACAGAGCTGGGCTGTCCCCAGGCTCGCTCTGACCCACAGACAGGGCTCTTGGTGCTCCTGGAGGATGCTCCTGAGTGTGTCTGGGCTGCTGCTGGGCCAGGCCACAGCCCTTCCTGCAGGAACAGCACTGGGCGTGGGGCTGCACAGCAGGGAAAAACCAGGAAAATCAAAGGAAGTGCCAGAACAGAGCTGGGATTGCTTGGCTGCAGAACAGAGCTGGGATTCCATGGCTGCAGTGGGGATCCCAGGGCTCAGGCCTGTGCCCTGTGCCCAGCTCTGAGTGCCAGGGCTGTCCCTGTCCCTGTCCTGGGCCAAAGGAGCAAGGGCTGCCCATGGATTTGGGGTTCTGGTTCTGATCCTGGTCCTGGTCTTGGTTCTGATCCTGGTCCTGGTCCAGGTTCTGGTTCTGGATCCCTGCTCTGAGTGCCAGGGCTGTCCCTGTCCCTGTGCTGGGCCAGGGCTGCCCCTGGATTTGGGCTCCTGCTCCTGGTTCCCCCCTGCCTCCCAAGCTTTGCCTGCCTGTCCCAGTGTCCCAGGTGAGCTCACGGCAGCTCCCCAGGGTGGGCACAGGGGAGCCCCCAGGTCTGTGGGGACCCCTCCTTGCAGCTGCCCCGGCCCTGGGTGCCCCTGGGCTGGGTGCCTCAAGCCCTCCCTGTGCTGTCTTGCAGGGGACGTGCTCTTCCAGATGGCCGAGGTGCACAGGCAGATCCAGAACCAGCTGGAGGAGATGGTGAGTGCCCAGCCTGGTGTGCCAGGGCCCTGCCAGTGGGAAATGCTTTGCCATGCCTCATCCAGATGCCACCAGCCCCTCTGCCCTGGCTTTGCTGAGCTCCAAAGGCTCTGTAGCGCTCGGGCATCCTCTTCAGCCCCTCTGGCCCTTCTCCAGTGCCCCCCAAGCCATCTCTGTGCATTTCCTCTCTCCCTGCAGCTCAAGTCCTTCCACAACGAGCTCCTGACGCAGCTGGAGCAGAAGGTGGAGCTGGACTCCCGGTACCTGAGTGTGAGTTTGTGTGTCTGTGAGTCTGCCACAGCCCTGGGGCTGCCCTGGCACCGCTCCCTGTGCCCCAGCGTGCCACAGCTCCTGTCCCTGCTCACAGCTGGGTGCCACCACGCCCAGGACAGTGTCCCCTGTGTCCCCTGGGCTTTGGGGGTCACAGCTGGGTGTCACTGGTGCCACCATGCCCAGGACAGTGTCCCCTGTGTGTCCCCTGGGCTTTGGGGGTCACAGCTGGGTGCCACTGGTGTCACCATGCCCAGGACAGTGTCCCCTGTGTCCCCTGGGCTTTGGGGGTCACAGCTGGGTGCCACTGGTGTCACCACACCCAGGACAGTGTCCCCTGTGTCCCCTGGGCTTTGGGGGTCACAGCTGGGTGCCACTGGTGCCACCATACCCTGGACAGTGTCCCCTGTGTGTCCCCTGGGCTTTGGGGGTGCCCCTGTCCCAGAGCTGGGTGTCACTGGTGTCACCATGCCCAGGACAGTGTCCCCTGTGTGTCCCCTGGGCTTTGGGGGTCCCCCTGCTCACAGCTGGGTGCCACCATGCCCAGGACAGTGTCCCCTGTGTGTTCCCTGGGCCCTGGGGCTCTGTCCCTGTCCCCCCTGGCACTGGGAGGGCTCAGAGCTGTCCCCTGTGGTTCCAGGCTGCGCTCAAGAAGTACCAGACGGAGCAGAGGAGCAAGGGGGACTCGCTGGACAAGTGCCAGGCTGAGCTGAAGAAACTGCGCAAGAAGAGCCAGGGCAGCAAGAACCCCCAGAAATACTCGGACAAGGAGCTGCAGGTAGGGCTGGGGACACTGGGGGACACCGGGGGGACAAGGAGCTGCAGACAGGGCTGGGGACACCCCTGGGGGTGGTGAAGCCCCAGGGAAGGCAGGGCTGGGGCTGTGGGTGGGAGGGGGTGGCAGCCAGCACTGGAACTGTTTGTTCCCAGCGCAGAGCGGGGCTGGAGCTGCCTGCCCCTGCTCCAGCCACTGTCCCCCTGCTGTCACCTCAGGAATGGCCCCAGGAGCACGAATCCCTGCTCTGCCTGCTCCATGGTGCCCAGGAGGGGTGTTCTGGTGTTTTCTGGTGGTTTCTGGTGGTTTCTGGTGGTTTCCTGTGTATTTCCTGTGCATTTTCTGTGCCTGTGCCCCCTCCTGCGGGGGTGGCTGTGGTGAATCAGAGCAGTGTGATGTGTGCTGGGGGTGGGCAGGGGGAGGCACAGCTCCCACTGAGGGGGAGCCAGGCTTGGCTCTCACTGAGGGGCGCCCTGGGCACCTCCTGGCAGTGCCCAGGGGCTGTGGCACTCGTGGGATCTGCAGCAGGGGTTTGTGCCCTGTGCCCTCTGCTGTGCCCTCTGTGCCCTCCTCACTGTGAGCTTGGCCCCATCCAGGGACCCTCAGGGGCTCCTGATGCCCCAGGGTGCCCTGGCTGGCCGTGGGAGCTGCTGCAGGAGCTGCAGCCACCGAACCATGGTGGCACAAGGGGTGCCTGGACAGGGCAAGGGGAATTCCTGCAGCCAGGAATGGTTTGGTCTGTGTGATGTTGGCACCAGGGGCTGTTTCTCACACGTCAGAGATCTGTGTCTGCTGAAGGGCACCTGGACACTGGTGGCACTTTGCTCCTGGGGGTGAATTTGGTGGCATTTGGTGGCATTTGGTGGCATTTAGTCTCTGGCAGAGTGATGTTAGTGCTGGGGAAGTGACACCCTTCATTGCACTGGAGTTTGGGAGATGCTGGTGTGAACCAGAGCTGGCAGTGAAGGAGGAGGATGCAGCCACCATCATCATCATCATCATCATGACCATCATCATCATCATCATCATCATCATCACCATCACCATCATCATCATCATCATCATCATCATCATCATCATCATCTTCATCATCTGTGCTCAGCCTGTGGGTCTGGGAGGTGTCCGAGGTGGCACAGCCAGAGCTGGGCTGGGAGGTGCTGGAGCCAGGCTGGAAGGTGTAGGAGGTGCTGGAGGAGCACTGGGAGGTGCTGGAACACTGGAAGATGCTGGAGAATGGCTGAGAGGTGCTGGAGGAGCACTGGGAGGTGCTGGAACACTGGAAGATGCTGGAGCTGGTCTGGAAGGTGTAGGAGGTGCTGAAGGAGCACTGGGAGGTGCTGGAGCTGGTCTGGAAGGTGCCACCCCACTCCTCGTGTCCAGCTCACTGTGCTGGAGGCTCTGCTGCTCTCCAGAGCAGCTGAAGCCACTTCTGAGCCTGGTGTCTCCACGAGTGCCAGTTGTGCAGTTGCTGCTGAGCTGGAAGAGCCCTGTCAGGCCTGAGCCCAGCCTGGGGGCACAGGGGATCCAGCCCTGTCACCCCCAGCAGGGACAGCTGCTGCCAGGGCAGGGATGGGGTCCCACAGCAGCAGGAACAGCAGGAGGAGGAGGAGGAGGAGGAAGGAAACCTTCCCAGCAGGGCTGGGGCACCCCTGTCAGCACAGCCCCAGGGGCAGGATCACAGCTCAGTGCCTTTCATCTTTCAGCAGGGAGTGTTTGGGAAGGACTTATCTCCAGAAAGGTTTCTGGTGCCTTTTGAGCTTGGTGAGGCCCTGGCAGCTCAGAGTGTGCCGTGGCTCTGTGGCTGCTCTGCTGCTCTCTCTGGGGGTTTGCCTTGCCTTAAATCTGCTCACAAAGTCAAAACTGCAGAATGCAGCCAGGAGGGCACTTCCCTCTCTGCTCTGCTGGCTGCAGAGCTGGGGTTTCCTCAGCAGAAAAAGAGGTTTGGGGTTAAAACCCTCAGCACTGGGCGTTGGAGAGAGGGGAAACTGCAGCAAGTGGGGTCCAGCCTGGAAATGTGGGGGGGTTGGTGCTGGAACTGGGGAGAGAGCCTTGTCTGGGGCTTTGGGGAACTGGAACTGGGATTTAGGGAGCTGGAACTGGGATTTAGGGAGCTGGAATTGAGCTTGGGGAGCAGGAACTGGGATTTAGGGAGCTGGAACTGGGATTTAAGGAGCTGGAATTGGGCTTGGGGAGCTGGAACTGGGCTTGGGGAGCTGGAATTGGGATTTAGAGAGCAGGAACTGGGCTTGGGGAGCTGGAACTGGGCTTGGGGAGCTGGAACTGGGCTTGGGGAGGTGAAACCAGGTTTGAGTGGATCAGGAGCTGAGTGGGGCTGTGCTCTCCTCAGCCTGGTTTGTTGAGCTGGCCCCAGCCCACCCCGTGTCCCCTTGCCCAAGCCCTGGTGGTGTCCTGGGAGCTGCTGAAGCCCCTGGGGATGGCTTTGGGATGCTGATGCTGTGCCTGGGGAGCACAGAGCCATCAGCCAGGGCTGCTGCAGTCTCCTCGTGCCCTGGCTCCTTCTCTCCTTGTGGGAGAAGCTGCTGCAGAGGGAAGTGTCACCTCCTTGGAGGCAGCAGTCACATCTTGCTCTTCTGGAGGCTGCTCCTGTGAAGCTGCTGGAGCAGCTGCCAGCCAGGAGTCTGGTGCTCTGTCATCATCTCCCTTCATATTTAATGCTCCAGGAAGCAGAGCTGGCTCCTTGCTGCCTCTCCACCACCTGTGGAGTGGCCACATCTTGTCATCACCTGCCAGTGCGAGGGGACACGTGGTGACAGGGCTGTCCTGCAGGGACCCCGGGGTTTATGTAATGTCTGCCAGAGTCAGAGCAGCTCTGGGGCCACCCAGGCCCTGCTTTTGGCTGAGGACAGCCCTTGGCTGTGCTCCCACCCTGCTGGATGGATCAGAGAGCCCAGAGCAAGGGCTCAGACCTCTCACCTGCTCCATTCAGCTGCTCCCCTTTGAAAAGCAGAATGAGCACTGGGCTCCAGCAGGGACTGCACACAGCAGTGGGTGGGGAGCAGAGGCTTTGGAGGGGGTGAGATGCTCACAGGTTCTTGCAGGAGGCTGCTCCTGAGCTGTGCCATCCCCTCCTTGCATGGACAGAGCTGGTCCAGGCTGCTCTGCACGTCCCACATCACCTGGCCCCTGTCTCCTGCTGCTTTGGGGGAGTTTTCCCAATGAGTGTTGCAGCCAAGGAGTTAAACCACCCCTGGTGTGCAGCCCAGCCTCACTGGGCAGCTCTGAACCAGCTCCAGGGGCTGCAGGAGTGCTGTGGCTGGGGTTGTTCCTGCTGAGTGCCACATCCAGCCTGGCTTTTATTCCTTGGGAATCAGCCCTGAGCTGCTGTTCCACCCAAGGAGTGAGGGCTGGGAGTCCCATGTGCCTCATCTTCCTCGTGGAGGGACTGAGTGGGGCTTGACCCTGCTGAGAACCAGGGGAACAAACCAATGCCACTCACTCCACATCTCTGAGGAAGAAGAATGAGAACAATATTAAGATTAAACAATCGCCAAGGAAGTTCAAGTGCTGTAATTTCATCAAGGGCTGGTTGTGATCAGGCCATGAAATCAAGGTCATGATGGGTTTGGGACCTGGATTGAATCTGCAGCTCAGCAATGAAGTTATGTTGGTTCAAAGTATTTATCAAATCATATTAGCACTGTGAGCAATTGGATTTCTGCATGGGGCTGAGGCTAAACTGGCTGTAATTCAGCTTAAATAGCAGAGCTGGGGCTGGGTGTTTGTCCTGAAAGGCTCTGCTGGCCCAGGTGACAGTGGGGGACCCTGGGTGGGCACTGGGGGCTGAGCTCAGCCCCTGCCTTCACCCAGCCCTGCTCCCATGGCAATGGTTTCAACATTAAATACCTCTGTGCCAGATAACCTGTGGGGTTTTATCAGCTTCTGTCATTGAAACCTCATTTGGGTATTCCCATCAGGAGAAATAATTTTAGGTGTAGGTCAGGAAGCTGGAAATGGCAGAGTTTGCACAAACCAGGTTATGAGGCTTGTGTGAAAGTCAAACGGGGAAGGACTCCGAGCTCAGCAGCTCCAGGTGACTCTCTCCAGGTTTGGCTGGGATTTAGGCTGAGGGAGGACATGAACCAAACCCAGGGAGAGGAGAGAAAGAGAGAAAGAGAAAGAGAAAAAGAGGAAGAGGAAGAGAAGAGAAGAGAAGAGAAGAGAAGAGAAGAGAAGAGAAGAGAAGAGAAGAGAAGAGAAGAGAAGAGAAGAGAAGAGAAGAGAAGAGAAGAGAAGAGAAGAGAAGAGAAAGAGAAAAGAAGAGAAAGAGAAAGAAAGAGAAAGAGAAAGAGAAAGAGAAAAGCCCTTCCAGTACCTAAGGAGGCTCCAAGACAGGGACTTTGGACAAGCCTGGAGTGACAGCACAGGGGGAATGGTTTCCCACTGCCAGAGGGCAGGGCCGGATGGGATATGGGGCAGAAATTCCAATTCCTGTCAGAGGTGGGGCCCTGGCAGAGGGTGCCAGAGGAGCTGTGGGTGCCCCTGGATCCAGGGATGTTCCTGGGGTGTTCCTGTGCAGCTCAGGGCTGTCCCTGCTCTGGGGGAGGTTTTGGGCAGGGGAAGGTGAGGCTGCCAGCGTTCCCTGCTGCTCTGCTCTCTGGGTTTTATGTAACAGCACATGTGTGCAGGGCTGGGGCTGCTGCAGATGTGACAAACGAGGGCAGACAGCCCTGCCCAGGGGAGGGGGGGCAGCCTGGCCTGCCCAGCTCTGGGGGCTCCCTCCCTCCCTCCCCAGGCCCTGCTCTGCCTCCCCTTCACCCTGGATATCCATCAGCAGCCATGGCCCAGCCTGATCCCCACAGCTTTGGCTGCAGCTGGGTGGGGGAGGCTGGTGAGGAGCACATCAGGGTCAGGGGCTCCCCTCCTGCCTGGGGGCTGCTGCTGGGCAGGCAGGGGAGGCTGCTAAACCTGCAGGGCTCTGCTGTGCTCTGGGGGGCTCCTGCAGGGTTAGTGAGCCCACAGAAGGCAGGGAAATGTGTTTGGGC